TTCTATGAAATATTTGCAAATGTTAAACCCGACACCTAACATCTGCCTGAAAGGACTGCTGCATTATCTAGCTTCTTTTCTTGCCTGCTTCTTATTTTATAAGGACAGAATGGCTCTCTAAACAACTTCTGCTTTCTTGAACAAAAGTCACAGTAATAATTCACTATTGAGATTTACAGCAAATTATCATCAACAGCCATTTCTACATCAGTTTAATTTTACGTCCAGGTACGTGCTTTTTCTGTGGATGTAATTCACAAGTGTAGCTGCTCAGTCCCGCACAACCTCATTAGCTGCACATTCAGGCTGTAAGGGGAAAGGAACACAGGGGCAAGGCGAGACAGACCACAGACAGCAAATGAAGGTGAGGGCCAGGCACATTTAGAAAGCAGAAACATAGAAACAGAAAAACAAGTGAGAAAGGGCATACTGGGGTTCACTTACTGTGAACTGATCACCCCAGCAGAGCAGGGGAGTGAGGTAATTAAGTGATCAATAGGAAAGTCATGCTAGGCCTCCTGAGGCACCATGGCACAGATGAACTACCCCTGTCTTCATGTCACTACTCCCGCAGATTGTTGAGGGGAAAATATCCATGACTGAGGCAAAAACTACACATGGCAAAACCTATACACACACAGAAATACCACTGAAGGCTCTCAGTCAGTCTGGAAGTTAGTACGGGGCTCCCCCGTGACTGTGACCCCAGGTTTCATTCTGTCTGTGCTGCCGTAACAATGTCCCTGATGCACCTGGCGAGACTGAGGCCCTGACTGCAGGCCTATCCCCCCTCCTTCTAAAAATATGATGCTCTGACTTATCCATACGCTCTGGATGTGGACCATCCATTCTCACATACATATGTTAGGCGGAAAGGTGAAGGAGAGGAGAGGCTGAAGGTGCTCAGTGAACACTTTCTGTGCACCCAGATGAAAACTTACAGTGCCCTTTTCTACACTGAATTACATTCTGTAATTTGTGGTACAGTTAAATTTAAAACAACTCTTTTCACTAAAGCACAAATGTGCTCTGTCATAGAAGTTAAATGTCTTCGGTATAATGATCCCACTGCCTTAATCAGCTTTATTACAAGACATGCTGAAAGGGCAGAGATAGCAAAGTCACAGCTAGAGTTTTCTGTCACTACTGTGAATGCCAAGGAATTTCCTTGCCCTTCCCCATTTATAGGGAGCAAGAAAAATAACAAGTAAGATGGACAAAGCCTCTGCTATAAGTAAACACTCCTCCTAGCAAACCACAATGAGAAATTCCAGCTAATGTTTGGAGAGCTGACACAGTACATAACCCGTCAGAGAGCACTGCAGATCTCATTATATAACTAGGACTGCACACCAAGTAAGAGAACCAGAACTATCTCACCCTTAAAGCTTCTTGTCTTCTCAGTCCTTCCCCAGTGCTGCATTCCTGAACAGCTGATTACAGTCCCCTCTTGTCTCGCAGCACAAACCAGGTTAGTGATAGCTGCAGGGATAATAGGTTTTGCTAACAGGGTGTTAATATTGTTTCCTTGTCCGTGTACAACACACAGCTCCAGCTCTGCTGGCCTGAAGTCTATTATCAGCCCTATGGGTAGTGAGGGCGAGTTCCAGATCTTAAAATAGCAGGTCCCCGAGGGTAAGCCAATAAAAATCAGCAACATAATATATCAGCCTGGTTTTTTCCTTTTCCTTTTCTTTTTTTTTTTTTTTTCCTCCATCTTGCTGCAAGAAACTACCATGGCAAGCATTACTGTAGAATGCAGAATTGTTTTAACATAACATCCTGTAAAGAAACATCCTACTCCATCCTCTCATCTTCCTTGAGGTTAGGTCTAAAATAGATTTATAACAGCAAAACTACTCAGATCATATCCCCTGCTTGGTACAGAATCTCCATCACAGCAAAGCAACAGCATGCTGACTCCATGAGACCTGGGTCCCCTGAGGCATCGTTCCAGACATGAAGAGTCAAAGCCAGGTCAGGAAAATTGTCAGAAAAACAGGTGCTGGAGAATTATAATGTTGGCACTAAGAGTTATTCTAGAGACAGAAAATAACAGCATACTTAAGTCAAGCTAGCAGAAACCGTCTCATTGGCAAAGATCTCATTTTACCACCTGACAATTTCCTCTCTTCCCAGTACATCATCAAGTACAGGGCTGCTGAAGGGGAAAGATAGATGGCTGACAAGAGCTGTTCAGGAAGAGCTAGTTTTTCAGACACTGAAGATACACTGCTTATTCGTACACAAAGCAAATCTCTGCTAGCAAACACAGCACTTTGCATTCATATACTTCGCCCACCTCACGGCAAAGAGGTACCTGAGACATAGGTGAATGACCAACTCCAGCCGATACAACTTCTGGCTTGAAAGGGTCAAAGTCCAGATCTAGCAAAGATTCCTCCTTCTTAGCTTCAGGAACTTCATTCTGTTAGAAGAGAAACACAAGTCTTGAAAAACTTTCACAAGCTGGCCCGGGCAGCAAAATATTAACCCCATATCACAGACTTTCTAGCCAGGAGGGGAGGAAGCGCTGAAGACTTTACCGAGCTTTCGTGTAACTTATTTTTATGAGCTTCACTCTTACAATGCCTTTGATTTCTCTCTAGTGTAGCTTTGCCTTTTCAGGCTCAACAAATTGCAGCCCTTTTAAAAAGTGCTGAGTGTTCTCCGTCGGACTGTGAAAGCCCTTTTAAAGCACTTCGAGTCAGACCCAAAATAAAAAACTACATAAATGGCACCCAACGTCCATACATTCTAATAAGTGAATCTTTCCCCAAACACAAACATTAGTAAAAAAAAAGACAGTACACAAGGACATAAATACATTTGAATTAAATTTCAATTCTGAACATGAATAACTATTTACATTTACTACTGTCCTTAGGTCTAAACTTTAGGCAACATCTTACATAACACTAAATCTTGCTACACTGATCTGCTCTTACCAAACTGGATTACACCTTAGAGCCTTTTTTTGTTTGCAATTAATGAATTAGCTAAGGCCTCTGAGGTCACTATAAATATAAATATATGGTACAATGGGCTA